TATATATATATATATATATATATATATATATATATATACTACGTAAATAATATTTTAATCATAATGTTCCAAAATTAATAATAAAACTAAAATACGTACTTTGTTGATTTATCAAGTTTGTCAGACCCGACACTTGAATCAAGTCATTAAAGTTGGACAGGCTAACTGGCTGGTCTTGAACATCAAGATCGGGCATTTCAATAATCTGAACGATGGTGTTTTTGGTTGAAGGAATAGTAACACCTCCCGCCTTGAGTTCAGGTAAAGAGGGGACTGGACCACCATGAGGACTTACAGAACCTTCTATAGGTCCTGGATGTTGTGACTGGCCAGTAGTTGAAGGGTGAGTTGTTCGATCAGTATTAGGTGTTACGGATTCTTGCGGTGATAATGGACGTTGTTCTTGACTAACCACAAGTGTTCTAACACCAACCTCGGGTGATGATTGTGGTGTGAAAAGAACGTGATCAATGAAATGGATGACTCCATTTCCCGTTGAAATGTCGTATTCGACGATATTGGCGTCGTTAACTTTAACTGAACCATCTGAAAGTTAAAGTAGACTTATGTAATACGGTAAACAAGGGGAATATGATTATGTGAATTTAGCTCAATCACTTGTATCCCCAATAAAGATTTAACGTTTCTTAACAAGATCGAAGATATTTTTATATAAATATGAGATGCTATTATCTTTTACTGAAACAATATAAATTCTGAAATTTTACACACAATACTGAATGAACACCTTCAACTAAGTGTGTTCTTAACAGTTACTAAACTATTGTTGTAATAATAAACCGGCAAATCAAAGAAAAACTTTAACGTGTTTGTGTCCGCTTATAAAAACTTGCGAACCACTGGAGCGCTTGTCACCAAACTTGGCATATAATATTATGGCTTTTTTAGGAGTGGCTTAGAAGGGCTGGTGATTGGATCTGATCCCCATTTATGTCACTCCCATATCCCCAAGTCTTGTGTCCCTTTATGGAGAACCACTAGCCCAATTGTCACCCAACTTGTCATATACCCTTAGCCCCCCCCCAAAAAAAAGCAACGTAGGGAAGATCGTCGTTCGGATCTGAACCCTACGTCATCCCCTATGTCTGCTAGTTTTTAAACACTTCATTAACTCTTAGGGTGAATGTTGTACTTTCAGTTTGTTCCTTTCTTGTTTACGGAACGTAGAAGAAGAGTGAATATATTTCACACACACTCACGCACACAAATTCGACATTTGTATTCATAACTGACCTGATGCCACCAAAAATCGTAATGGTTTACCACGAGAAGTTTGGAGTTCATAGTTGCTGATAAATTCCTTTTTATAATGAACGCCATCTACCACGTGATTTAGTAGTACCTCTGGAAATATGAGAAAATAACCTTTTTTTAAATAACTTACTCTCGCCCGATTATAGGTATTAAAAGATTATTGTTATATAAAGTTGACAAGATAATATAATATCAGTAACTGTTAATAAACTATTATTTCAAGCCTTGAAGTCGATAGTAAATTAACATGGTTTAGTTAATCTTGTGTTTTCTTAGTTTGACGTCGTTGCTTTCTTTATCTTCGGTTCACATATAATTACTACTGACTAACGTTTTAGGTACACTTTCTGGCACGATATTGCTAAAATTCTACAATAATAATTACAATTAACAATAAATAACTAGCCTCTGCAATATTACCAAGCAGAACTGACAAGTGTAAGTCTTCACGTACAATTCCTAGCACATTTGGAAAGCGTAGTTATTACTAATTAATAAATTTAATGGTAGACATCAATTCACCTGGTACTATAGATATCTAAATTATACATTTTAGTATTTGAAAGTAATGATTGTATTATTCGGGTGTAATCCAGTTGCATAAGTAAAACATCTTTCCGAAGGAAAACCTAAAATCTATAAAACACAGGGAAACTCTTATGAAAGTAAAGAATTAGTATTTTCATTTTACTCCAAGACATCGAAATCCTAAGTATCAATAATCAAGTTAATATTACATTATACAGCTAAGTTTTGTTTAACATTTATGATTGTGTTATGATTCCACTCATGCTAGAACAGAAAAAAAGGTTATACCTCGCAAGGCTTTTGAATCAGATGATAAATTCTGTAGCACATCTTGTGGGATTGCCGCAAATGCTTCATTTGTCGGTGCAAAGAATGTGAAAGATCCATTTCCTGGAACGAAAATACATTCACACTTAGTAGACACGTTATTCCTTGAACGAAAATACGGTCATAGTTAGTAGGCACATTATTCCTTGAACAAAAACACGTTCAGTTAGTAGACTCATTATCCCTGGAACGAAAATACGTTCACTCTTAGTAGACTCACTATTCCTGGAACGAAAATACGTTCACAGTTAGTAGACTCACTATTTCTGGAACGAAAATACGTTCACAGTTAGTAGACACGTTATTCCTTGAACGAAAAGTCGTTCATAGTTAGTAGACACGTTATTCCTTGAATAAAATTAACTCTTCAGGTGCATGGATTTAGAATTAACCTAAATCTCTTGAGTAGTCCGAACAACAGTAGTCGACAATATCGTTAACAGCGAGGGCACTGCAATGATGGAAAGATATATTCTAATAATTTTAAGTTAGAACGTTAGATTTATATCCATTACTGGGTTAATTTTAGCTCTCATCTATGTAAATAGCTTGTTTGATCAAAAGTTAATTGTTAATATCAATTTATTAAAAGACATTAAATATTTTCCTAATAATCTAAATCTTGCTAATTTGGTCACTGACTGTGTCACTGATTGGTTATTAAATCACGTTAGACTTTACCAAAAACAGATCAACATGCCATTCATCATAAAAGTCATCTTTAAGTACGTCACAATGTCTTACACAATTGAAACATTCAAGGAAACTTATCCAGCAAAGAAAAAATAAACTTACCATGAAGTGTTTCTTCTAGTCCTGATGTTTCAATTAAATTCAACAGTTGGCTAAAGTTGGGGCGGATTTTAATAACTGCAAAGATATCTACATCAGGTACAGGATAGATAACATTGTTGATAACGTAGACGTAGCCGTTTTGTGCAACTGTTGATGCAATTAATTTGGCTCCTCCTATTAAGATTTTCTAAAACGAAACGACAAAAGAATTGAAATTCTTTCCACTGGACTACTGAACAAATAAGACTGCTTGTTTGTTTTTTGAATTTCGCGCAAAGCTACACGAGGGCTATCTGCGCTAGCCGTCCCTAATTTAGCAGTATAAGACTAGAGGGAAGGCAGCTAGTCATCACCACCCGCCGCCAACTATTGGTTTACTCTTTTACCAACGAATAGTGGGATTGATCGTTACATTATAACGCCCCCACGGCTGAAAAGGCGAGCATGTTTGATGGGACGGGGATTAGAACCCGCGACCGACTTGATTGTCACTCTTATATCGCACTCACGACCCCAAAGCCTGGAGTGCCATTTTCTTTTCTTTTGCGGTAGCGGTGCACAAACCACGAAACCCTCAGTGCTTTACAAAAAGTGATAAGATTATATGCACAAGTTACGAAAATATTTTTTCTCCATTTTTCTTTTATAATGGGATAACTTGAAATATAATATTTATAATATGTCGAACATGAACATTTCTGAACTTACAACAACGACAATCTAATAAACATTATCTGGAATTAACTACAGACATTGATGACGGACATGGTATATTATGGAATTAAAAACGACGACAAAATGATAAACATTGTATCAAAGTGGCTACAATTAAGGTAGTACGCTGAGCATGATGATCTCCGGAATTAATTGCAGTTCTGTAATTGATTGCACATAATACATGGCGAACATGATTATTTTTGGAACTAATTACAGGTGCAGGAAAGTACCACCTTATAAGACTTTTTCTTGTTTTATAAGAAATTTAAAAGCCCCCATTGGTTCAGCGATAAATCTGAAGGCTTATAATGCTAAAACCGGGCGTTGATACCCGTGGTGAGTGCAGTACAGATAGCCTTTTGTGTAGCTTTGTGCTTAACCACAAACAACAAAATTTAAAACCAATTTTAATGTGATTTATGTATTCAAAACAGCGTATTAGAGTGCAAACAGCCTTAACATTTTATTTCCATGAACTACTTTGATTTTGGAGTGCAATATATTTGCCAATGGTAAAAATGCTATGCAAGTAGTAACTGGCATATAATTAAATTTTCTTACACTTGACAGCTAAGACTTTTTTTGTGATTTCCAAAAACATACCTTTGCATCATTCAAAACCTTAATAAATAACTGGAGACCATTATTAGTTTCTATAACCATGTTGTTCTGAAGGGTTTGAGGGTTGAGAGAAAGGCCTAAAATATGGGTTAGAAGTACTCGCCGCAGTAACTCTGGGTTATCCCTGAGTTCCTCCAAAACTCCATCAGGAAGGTTAACAAAAGCATCATCAGTTGGGACGAGCACAGTGAAAGGACCTACCAATAAGAAGTGTTTTTATTAAAAAAAAATTCCTAAAGCACTTAGTCTTCTTCAGTATTATTTATAGGATTACATAAGCAAATAAATCATTATTGTTTTTTTTTCAATTTTTCATGAAATTGCGCTTGAACTCCCACAGTACATTTTCCCTTAAATCCTGTTGAATCTATACTTCGCTTTCTAAAGTATAAAATTATATAGCTATAACTTTATTTTTTTACGTCACCATTTTGAAAAAAATAATCTACTGGCATCCTTCTTAAGCATAACTGTGGTAATCTATATACTTTATAAGATAACAAACAATTTTCTTGAAAGAGTCAGAAAATTATTTATCAAAAGCATATCGTTTACCTTCCTCCCTAAGCAAGTCTAGTAAACCCGATGTTTCAAGGAGTTCGTAAAAGATGCTGAGACCAACTAATTTGCCTTGAATATTGAGACCAGGCATCTTAATGATCTGAAGGATTTTATTTCTTTGAGAAGGACCACCTTCAACTTCCAGTCTTGGTGGAGAAGGTACTTGACCACTATCGATTCTTACAAAGACTTCCTGAGATGGTGGTTTCTCTGGCTGACCAGAAGTTGATACTTCATGACCTGGTTGGGGATGTTCCTGTTCAGAAGAAGGACCGGTTGTTGGGAGATTTGACTGACCAGATAGAGGTTTTTCAGGAAGTTGGGGTTGTTGTTGTACTTGACTATCATCTGATGTTCCAGGACCCGGCTGAGTTACTGGTGGCGCGAAAAGAACATGGTCTATCACGTGTATGACACCATTTCCAGTAGAGATGTCGAATTCCTGTATGTTGGCGTCGTTGACTCTGTAAACTCCATCTGAAAGTTTAAGTGACTAATATTGAATATATGTGTGACAAAGTAACACATTTATGGTGGTTTTATTTTTATATATCTTTTAAAAAAAGGTTTATTGGTTTGTAAATATTCATTAATATATCTTAATATTTAATCCCTAACCTGGTGGCAGAATAAACTGCAGCTGCTTGCCACGAGATGTCGGGAGAATAAAGCCACTGGTGAACTCTTTCTTATAGTGAACGCCCTCTACAACATGATTCATTATAAGTTCTGAAAATAACCAAAAATATTATTGTTACTCTTCTGATACATTATTAGTGAATACGTCTGAAATATCGAAGAAAACAAAAACGTTATTAGATTCAACAATTCTCGCACTTGTATTAACATTGCATGTTTTTCAGATCAAATGCATAAATTTCAATCTCTGGAAATTCAGAATTGTAGAATTTAGTACAAATGGATGCTTTTATCACGTTAACTATATTTCTCCTCAAGCAGTTTCGTTTCAAATAACTTGATTTTTCTCGACTCTTACAAATAGATGTTTATAAGATTTCCAGTATACACCTACCGTTTAAACAGTCTTACCTTGTAAGGCATCTGGATTGGACATCAATTCCTGCAAAACACTGTCTGGAACTGCTGCAAAGGCTGTATCTGTTGGTGCAAATATGGTATAGGGCCCATTTCCTGTAATAGAAATGTAATATAATTTAATTAAACAGAAACTAAGCTTTTTTATACGTGATAAACTAAAGAATTCGGGGCTTTCGCATTCTTTTATTCAATAATACTAAGCCCTCCAGATACACAGCGGTAAGTCTGAAGGCTTATAACGCTGAAAATTCTGGGCATGGTAGTGGGCATAGAACAGATAGCCCATGGTGTAGCTGTAAAGAAACAAACAAACAAGCATTACACTAACTTTTGGTTACATGCTAAGTTCCTAAGTTTCACTCTTTCATTTTCTAGACATACATGAACTGCACCCCCCCCACCCCCACCCCCAGTGGTACAGCGGTAAGTCTGCGGACTTATAAGGCTAAAAAATGCTCGTGGTGAACACAGCACAGATAGCCCACTTAATTATTGAAGAAGCTAAAAGTAATAATTTAATTACTGTTTGGTGAAGAGCTTTGAAACACAATGGCTGCATATATAAGTTTATTCTTGTTTTGCGTTCAACTACAATATCACCGAAATAACTGAAGATAATATTATACCGTACATTTGAAAACCCATTTAATGTGAATATATATATGTTGAAATAATTCTAAGTTTGGAAATCAACTAATTTTTGTTTTATTCCAATAGCTAAATAAGTGAATAAACCAGCAAGGGAATCTTACCAAGAAGAGTTTCTTGAAGCCCAGATGTCAAGATTAAGGACATCAGCTGGCTCAGATTGGGGTGTTCCTTTAGTTCCGTGAAGATATCCAATCCCGGAATTGGGTAGATCAAGTCATTAATGACGTAGACATCACCGTTTTGAACCGACGTCGAAGCAGTCAGTTTGGATCCTCCAATCAAGATCAGCTAAAAAAAAACAACAACATTGAAACATTCTTTAACGATGTTTCTTTAGTTTTCTGGGAATAACATATGCAGAATATTAATAATTTAACGAATATTCTACAATCAAACAGTTGTGTATATTAACCCCGATGAAGCCGCAAAGGCGAAACGTTGGTTGAAATAAAAATATATTATTTTATATTTATCTGGAGTGTAAAGGTAGTTTTTTCTAAACTTTTGGGAAAACGTATTACACACATTGCAAATAACAAAAGCATGTTTAAAGCGCGAGTTTAATGAAACTGTTCAAGATAAAGATATCTATGATCGTTGTTGGGATAATGATTGTTTGTTTGATTGTCTTTTAGAACAAAGCCACATTGGGCTATCTGCTATGTCCACCGCAGGAAATTGAACCTCGGTTTTTAGTTTTGTACGCCTGGAAACTTACCGCTGTCCCATCGGATGACTTTAGGAACGAGCAGAAGAGCTTACCAATAAGCTTCCATCTTTTCCGTTTTCAACTATCTCATTCTGTCGTCAGAAAACCAATGTTTAGATAATAGAAAAATGCAGATTGATAACTGTAGGTAACCGGGAGTGTTAAGAGTAACTCATCCTTCGGGGGTTAACATCCAACCAGCAATAAGATACACGTATTATTAGGTTGGTTGTAAAATAATGGGGGGGGGGGATAACACTTTCCTCCATGCCATTATCTTTGTAAGTCGTAATATACAGACTTGTCTCCATTAAAAACGTTTTAGCAGAACTGTTTTGTTCTTGTATTTGGGTTTCAATAGCCTAGTTCATTTTAACATCTCAGTTTACAGTAGTTTGTGTAGCTTACAACAACTTTTCGCAACTGAATTAAAACGTGATTTGACAATTATATATAAAACTAGTAAATAATACAAAAAATGTGCTATTAACGGTTTTAATTGTCAAATGTAATATATACAAAGTAAATAGAGAAAACACCTATAATAAGAATGTTATTAGTTTAAAATTCATACCTTTCCGCCATTAAGAACGTTAACAAAAAGCCGACGGCCATTATTGGTTTCAACAATCATGTTGTTCTGTAGAGTTTGTCTGTTTAAAGAACGATTAACTACGTGGCAGAGAAGTACACGTCGCAGTGACTCTGGATTATTTCGGAGTTCCTCCAAAACTCCAGCAGGAAGGTTAGCAAAGGCATCGTCAGTTGGGATGAACACAGTGAAAGGTCCTTTTAAAAGATAAAGAAATATAATGGAAATTATAAATATATTTTTTTAATTTTCTGTAGGTAAGTTTAAACGACTGATTTATCAAACCAGGGTATTAGCAAAGAATATACCACGAAAAATTTATCGTTTATTTGCTATATGTAAACTAGTTATATTTCCACAAAAATTACGTTACCATACCTTCTTAAGTATACTTGAACTTCCACAGCAGTATAATCCCTGAAAATAAGTTGGATCGAGACCCCTTTGTGTAAAAATATCATGATTAGATTATAGCAATACTAGTCGAGACCCTTCGTGTAAAAATACCATGATTAGATTATAGCAATACTAATCGAGACCCTTTGTGTAAAAATATCATGATTAGATTATAGCAATACTAGTCGAGACCCTTTGTGTAAAAATATCATGATTAGATTATAGCAATACTAATCGAGACCCTTTGTGTAAAAATATCATGATTAGATTATAGCAATACTAGTCGAGACCTTTTGTGTAAAAATATCATGATTAGATTATAGCAATACTAGTCGAGACCCTTCGTGTAAAAATATCATGATTAGATTATAGCAATACTAATCGAGACCCTTCGTGTAAAAATACCATGATTAGATTATAGCAATACTAATCGAGACCCTTCGTGTAAAAATACCATGATTAGATTATAGCAATACTAGTCGAGACCCTTTGTGTAAAAATATCATGATTAAATTATGGCAATACTAGCTGAAACGCCGCTCTAAGGGGGGTCGTTTGGTCAGGATCTTGGTGAGCTGAAGGACGTGCTTCTCTGTTACAAAATTGCTTCTGACTTCTTCTAACTATATGTTGGCGAGCAGTTTGATGTGCTACTGTATTTCGGGTTTGTTCCCGGCGTTTTCTCGCTGCATCTTGCCTCAACTTGTTGAACAAACCTGTTTCTTTCTTCCTGTAACTTGCATCCTAACGTTTTATTTTTTGTTTCTCAAAATTTCAGACTTTTTCCATGATAAGTTACTTTTTTTGGTTATCGTGATTTTTTATGTTTTTGATCACTTTATAATCATACTGAAATACAAAAATACTTGTGTAACTTACGAAGATCGAGTTACTACAAAATTTTTGCAAAGTTATACAATTTGTTTGTTTGTTTAATGTTAAGCACAAAGCTACACAATGGGCTATCTGTGCTCCGCCCTCCACAGGTATCGAAACCCGGTTTCTAGCGTTGTAGGTCCGCAGACAT